ACATGGACATGCACATGCATCACAGTGTAGATCGGTCTGTATTATTAGTGGGAATGTGTATCTCCCAGCATTCACATACTTTTGTGCATTTCTTGGCTGACATAAGTGCTAAATTTGCGTTTGAGGATCATTAACTTCGCTAGCATCCCCGTCTCTCTTTAGAGTACTGTACTGTGAGGCTGCTGTAATTCCACTAATGGAGTGCCTCTACAGTTCAGCCCCAGCATTCTGACAGTGACTGATGTGCCTTAATTGCTGAAACACTCGCCTATGGTTCCCAATCTATTTGCCTTATGCAGCATAATTATACCTCTTGGTATTGGAAATCATAATAATTATCATCCATGGTATATTTAAGTACATGCTGTTAGGTGTCATGAAGGAGTCGTAATGATTAGTTTTGGACATTTGTGCTGAATCAGGTCTTTTAATTTCTGCTGGGCCAAATGAGTTACCAATTCTTTGCATGACAATTGACACATAGAGAATGCACATCATCCACGTTTCCCATGATATTATTAATAAAATATGATCATCTAAACTTTTGTGAACCTTTATTATAGCCTAAAAACAATCCAAATATACTTTGAAATACATATGTGTCATCAGCTCAAATAAAGACACGATGTGTTACTGCGAGATGGGTCTGAGACTGTAAATTACGTAACATTTAATGTGTTCGTGGCTGGCCCAGTCTTTGTGGGAATGTTGCAATCCGATTTCTGCTGAGCGATGGGCTGACCTTAAGCCAAAACTTCCATTAGTTCTGATTGAAAGTGAGACAGCGCACGTGAAATTCATTCAAGCTGGGATTCTTTTTTCTCGACATGCAGACACGATATGTACGCTGTTCACACACGTACACACGGCTTCAGGACAGCGGTTATATTCTCAACTAGGCTGACAGATGAAGAGACTGAAAGAAGAGGTGACGCAGTGAAGAAGTTTTTATTTCGGTGACGTAGTGAATGGTTGTACTTGGTGAACCCAATCACTGTCAGCAATAAGCAACTGCGTTGCATCCACTGTTGTCAATAACACCAGCACGGGGTTGCTGGTGTGGGTGTTAGTGTAGAAATGTGAGTGTGTGTTTTAAGAGGTCCATGTATTTAACGGGGCTGTCACTTCAAGGCTCCACTGGTCAGCTAAGTGAATAACACATACACATTAGCTTACAATGACACTGATGAATAACTGACTCTCCAGCGACCTTGAAGGGACCCCGATGTTTTATTAATAAGTCACCTGAACACTGGAAATGTGTTCAAAATATGGAATAAAAACATTGTAATGCGGGATTACGGGAAATGTAGAAATTGTACTCCACCACGACACACTTAAATGTGTGTATACCAGTGTTCTGTGAAGTGGTTGACACACAGCATACATTGGTGAAGACTACATTTGTTGGATAAAAGAGCATGAGTGCAATTTAAGAACAATGAAACCCGATGTTTTGCTCTCTTTTGCTTCACTTCTTAGCTTCTTGCTTGCTTCTTCTATGATACTGCTCTATAAATCACGGAATGGCTTGGACACATTAAAGAAATGCAAATTGAACATAAACCCAGTTGGGATATGAGGTCAAAACTCGGCTCAATTAGTGGAATCCAGAGTTTAAAGCAAACATGGTGAATCAGCATTTGGCTGTAATGCTGCACAGAAATGACATGAGCTTCCAACAGAACTGAAGTTAGACCCAAATGCAAATTCTTTTAAGTGCAGCGCAAAATCTTTTAAATCCATCTTTAAAACTATGCCCCCCATACCTATGATTCAAGTCTGTTAAAGCACTTCTTCATATTTTTTCCAAAGTCTTGTTCTTGTGCTGCAAACTCTTTCGGTAATTTACACACACACACACACACACACACACACACACACACACACACACACACACACACACATATATAAAGCTACCCCACCTATCACTTGATCAAGTTTAAGCTAATTATTTTTCTGTGTGGCTTTTAAAGCATACAGTTCCAAACTCAGAGACTCATACTGCTAATGTCATCTTAATGTGTAATGTGTTACACATCATAAAGTCCTATGTGCTGTGCCCTGACGTGGCTGCAGCATGGCTTTAAACGCTATTTGGGAGAAAACAAAACATGATTGCACTTTTTCTATAATTAAGTACATTTCCATTGTATGAATTTGTGGCAGGACAACATCATGGACTGACTCAATGTTTTTGCAGACATCCGGGAATATGCCTTGTGTGCAAACATGAAACTTTCGTACCTGAAACATATAAAATGTTTCATCAAACATTTACACGGGATGTGCAAAATGTTGTGCAAACAGGTCAACACTAGGGCACTTTCTGGGTGAGTCCAAAGCAAGCACCGGTAATCAAGGCTTAGTCGTTTGCTTAAAGACGGATGCAGGTTGCGCTGGCTGGTCTTGATGAAGTGCTGCTCTCCTGCTGAGGCACCAAACGATTTATAATCAACACACCGGCAGTCTACAGGCACGGAAGATAAAACTGCTGCCCGTGTTGTTCTTTCTTTCTTTTCCACTAAATTCCTCGCGTCTATCGGCCAATTTAACACAATGGCAGGGTGATACCAGAGCAGAGAATAAATACAGAAGAGAAGCAACAGTTGAAAAGTGATTTCACTCGTGTGACATGTAATAGACATTTTAAAACATCACCTTCTCTGTAGTCAATAACCATCGGCTTAAATGTCAGCCACACTCTTTGGAGTTGCACGATCAGATGCCCAGCTCACTTGCTGGCATCATCAATAATAGAAAGACTTCAGACTTGTTGGTCATGTGTCGGTATGGAGCCTGTTTGCTTCTTTGTGTTTAAAGTGTTTGAACATTCATGTATATTATCTGTACCGTATGTAGTTCAGTCTATAATGTGATCACTTTACTGTATTTCAAAAACGCTACTTTGTATACATGTTTAAATCAATAACCCTAGTCACGCTCCTAGCATCGTACTTTCCCATGAAAGGTGACTTTCTTTTGATTTTACAACACGTATGCCTTATTAACCATTAGCCTATTATGCAACAAGCCAACATCATTAATAAACATCCGAGCCGGTGACATATCATTCATCATTGGGGAGTTTAAGCGTTGATCTTTATTTAGGGAAACGCACTCTCTCGAGGTCGAAACTGAAAAGAACAATCGTGGGTTCAGTTCCAACAATAACACAGTGAAATGTCAAAGCTATATGTTAAAATGTCAGCTCCATTAACGGTGCTGCCAGTCTACGGGAGAAAAATGTCAGGAAGAAAACAAATGCAGGCGGCAGTGAAGGAAATGTGAAGTCATGGAAACATATGCAAAGACTGAACGCAGTGTTGTCATGATCCTTCACTTTCAACTTACGATGAGCAGTCATTTCTTTAAACTTATATGGAGTTGGTGGTGCGTGTTGATGTTTACTGAAGTAATCCAGCTTAGTTGGGCTAACGAATCATTGTGAAGGGCTTTGATCAGACTCAAGGGGGTCAGTGACATAAGCAAACAACAACACCCCCCACCCCCCTCACAAAGTCACCTTTCACTGATTGGAAGGAAGTGGAGCGCACTCGAATGGAGGGGCAAAAGGAGAAGTAGGCCGAAAGGAGGTCAAGAGGGCTTGACAAATTCACTGCTTTACACTCTTCAGTGAGACTTGGATTGGGTTGATCACAGAATCCTTTTTGTTTTCTTCTTTTAACCAAAAGAGTTGAATTTGGGGAAGTGATTCGAAATCGGGGTATATCCTATGAGACATAAACATATCCACACGACACCTCTGAGGGAGTGTCGCAGGATGCGTGAGTTGAACTTTTTCTTTGGCTTGTCGTCGCTTCAGCATGATGCAGTCCAGTTCTCCACCATTTCAGTGTTTGCCTAAAGCAAAAGAGAAAATAAGAGGATCCTTCAACATATAAAGTTGACAAGGCCATTCATTGCCAGCGTCAGATATTACCACAAAGCCTTCCCAAAATGACAACTTTGGAGTGGAGGAGGAAAAAAAACACGACAGCAAAATACTGCTCAATACCCAGGGAGGAAAAGCAGCTGGCTGTGATTGATGGGTCTGACCCGGGAGGGGGGAGGGGACGTAGCTACAGAGATGGTCTCTTCCAGAAGAGACAGGGAGTCAGCAAAGCGCCTGCCCCTCTGCCCACTGCATCCAATACTTGTCAGGATGAGAGGCATCTTGTTAAACTCCCTCTGTCAGTTCTTCTATCATTCATGTCAAAACAGTCTCCATATTCAGTAGATGAAATTTGCGCTTACGTGATGGGAATACCGAGGCACTGCTACAGCATCCATCAGGTTTGTAGCATCAGGGCGCATAAACACTCCTTCCTTTCAGTCCTGTTAACGACAGCATAGTACATCTTTCCAGCCTTGCAGGTCATTGCGAACACAAAAATGACAGCAATTTTGCGATGCTTACAAAGAGTGTGTCCTTTTACTGATTCATTTATGACCAGGGATTAAATTATGTGTTGAACTATTGTACAATTGCGTGTGGGGTTTAGACAGTCCTTTAAAAATGAAATTAAACAAGTAATTTACATATTATGTCAAACCATAATAAAACATAGCAATAGCTGAGTTGTAAGGACTTGGAGTTTGGAACTGGAGGGTCGCGGTGTCCAAGTCTCACTGCAGAATAAAATAAGATAAAATAAAACAGCAACTAGTTAGAGGAGGACTGCTGCTCTGCTTCTTGACTCCTGCCGAGATGCCCTGAAGCAAGGCACCAAGAGACCAACCCCAGCTGAAGAGACGCAACGCTGGTCGCCCACCTTTGAGTGACTGAGTGAATAGAAATTCACACGGTAGTGTAAAAGTTTAATTTCAACATTGTTTTTTTTTCATTATACGTAAGATGAAGCAGATAAGAAATCTAAATGTATCAGTGTTAGTTGTGACAGACTACTAATAATTTTCAAAAGAAGCACATATATTCCGAAAACAACAGCCGCTCCTTTATTCGTCCTCGTGAGGGGTGTGACGAAGGACGTAGTGACGACACTAGTGTGACGACTACGGAAGTAATCCACTAACACCATGGAGCGCTTCTAAAAACCAAAACAATAGCATTTATGTCGTTTTAAATCGGCCACAAATCGGACATTGTTGAATATAAATCGGACATTGTTGAATATATCTCATATACCGTGTACGGTCAGCTTTTCTGTGATCGCGGGGTGGCTGCGAGGTGATTTCGACGATATTAAACAATTTCTAGACTGAAATGGAGGTAAGTGAACGACTTGGAACTAGCTTTAGCGACATTCAGTTACAACACCAGTGATAGAAATACTCAACAAGATCGTCAACCAAAGATACTCTTATCTGAGCGGATGCTACAATAGACGTGAAGCTGGATAACTTGGTCTCAAAGCACACTTTGTTATTTTCTGCTTGTTCGTGTTGAAAGCCGAACTTGAAAAACAAATCTGGTGACATAGTGAAGAAAAGCAAGTCTGATGTTGAGACATTACAGATATTTCGGTTTTATTTTGGTGTATTACCATTATGTATCTATATGGGTCATTCCAGAATCGGATGATTTTACATTTCACCCATCAAGTTTTAAATAATCCACACACAAAATAATAAAACAGAGTTTGTGAATAAATGTACTTGTCTTGAGACCAAATCTAAAAATAACCAAGAGAAAAAAATGCTTGAAAACAGTCTGAAGATCCTTCTAAAATGCCATTTTTCTTTTGCCCCTAATGATCAAAGTGAATGCCCAATAAAACACTGAAAATGACATATATATTTTGTATTAAAATATTATTTGTTTCATTGCTGCTTCTTGTACCCGACATTGCTTTTTCATAGGACCCTGGTGGCACAGTAGCTGAATCTGTGGCTTCACCGCCAGCTGGTGCACCCAAGTCAAAGGTTACTGTGCATTTGTAATGTGTTAGACCCAAATACATTAAGCATTTTTTTTTTGTCCTAATGTGTGCAGACGATGATACACTGATTTTGTTTAATGGTCTTGTTGTTTCTTCCTGCTCTACACTTAGCTGGACACATTGTCCAAAGATGATCTTATTAAATTTACAAAGAAGCAGATGGCTGTTTTCCAAAAGATGAAGAACAGATGTGCAGGTGATCACATGCTTATTATTGTTGGGCTGGAGATAATGAGGCTCGAGCAGCATTTGACCTGATGTGTATTTCCAGATTTAGAGAAAGAAGTTGAAGCCCTTAAAGAACATTTCAAAAACATTACCAACATTTCAGATGACTCCACATTAATACAGGTTTGAATGTTTTGTATCAGAAATTCATTATTGTACACCTACCAATATTATATAATTAATCAATCTTGTACTGTATGTGACAGGAGTTGACTCGGCGGATGGATGCATTATTACTGGAGAAAGCAGAAACCCAGCAAAGCCTTGCATTGTCTCGTAAAGAACTGGAGCGCACCAAGCATCTTGCAGAGGTCAACTGAAATGCCAAGTTTTTCAAATTGCAGTTTTAAGACAACGTACTCTTAATGTGATGGACTAATTTCTGCTTGTTTCACATTTTTGCATCCATTTGTAAGATCAAAAGATTGGCGCAAACTTGTGTCGAACTGAATCCAACAGTTACGCTTTGTTCTTTGCAGGATGATATCACAGAACTAAGACGTGTTATAGAAGACAACAAAAGGACGATTGACGTTCTAAACGCCAACATTGAGGAATCCCACAGTAAACACGAAGAAGAAATTGCACATTTTCAGAAATTACTGAAAGAGCGAGTGGACAGTAATAGGGAGATAGACAGTGAAAGAGCGAAACCGAACCTCACTGAGGAAAGCAGTGGGAAATGCCACCCAGAAGAGGACAAATGCTCCCTGGAAGTTCATCTTAAAACTCTACAAGCTGAATTAGAAGCAATCCAAGAGAGAAACCACAAAGAGATTGCTGAGTTGCAAGACAGTCACCAGACCGAGCTGACTGAAGCCCAGCAAGAGATAGAGAACCTAAAAGAGGAGTTAACTCAGAGAAGTATTCAGCATGAGGAGGAGTTGAGGGCTTTGGAGGAGGACTGTGAGATTGAGAGGGAGCGTCTTCTGTTGCTCCAGGAAGAGCTGACTGAGCAGCTGGCCCTCAAAGGTACACCAAATTTCAATTTCAAACTTTTGGTTTTCAGAGTCATTTGATTGGTTTTGTATGAGCAATTTCTCTTGAAATTGACCATGCAAATGTTTTGGGCCACATTATCCACAGTTTAGCAGTGTTCAGCAGCTGACCTCTGCTCACTTTGCGGCCAAACTTAGAAGTGAGTCACTGGCGCGCAGACAAAGACTTTGAAAAGGTGCTTAATGGCACATTGGAGAATTTGAAATAAAAAACAAGCCGAATTTAAATGCCATATAAGTTGTATTGAAATTGAAATAAAAAAACAAGCCGAATTTAAATGCCATATAAGTTGTATGTCTTTGGGGTGTCATCTCAGAGCAAATTCTTCTTATTATTATTATTATTATGCTAATTTAAACAAAAGCAATTCTGCATTTAAGAGAGGTTATTGAGAAGGGGAAATGTGTAACTGGAATTGAGATGTAGGTTCAAATAAGAGTGAAAATTATACGTACAACTTTGTATTTACATTGATATTTATGTATTTTGTGTTCATTATACCGCTATATGGATGTGATTACAAGGTATGTGTAGTATGAATATATAATATACTAATGTATATCATATATTTATATTTCTATGTAAAATTGCAATGCTATTTAGTGTTGTACAATTAAATTAAATACAATTAAATTAAAAAGGGGTAGAAGTTTATACTTCTTCCTTCCCCTTTTTCTGAACATCTGTACATGCTACGTTTTGTTGATATGTTGTAGTTTCTTTTTCTTTTTTCTTTTTATACATGTTCGAAAATAAAATATAATTCATTCATTCATTGAAGATAAATGCTTCTGATATTACGTAGACGGCTGGAAAATTGATGGTCAACTTCCAACTCCCCATTTTGTATTGGTACTTCACAGGCAGGACAGTGAGTCAAGAGCAAAAGATGTGGAAAAACCAGGCTTAAAATGCCCGTGTGAAAGAAGCAAATGTTTCCAATTAACAGCACTTTTATTTATCCAGATAGCTACCTCCAGGATGTCCAGGAAGAAGATGAAGAACCTGGTCGCAGTTCAGGGGTCGCCAAGATGCTGGCGCTGTCTGCATGCAGTCAGGCTGACTCCAGCCATGTTGATGGCGAGGTGACACAAGATGGAAAACTGAAAGCAGCCCTGGAAGACCTTAGTGCTCAAAACACCATGTTACAAGATGAGCTCACTCTGCTCAGTAATGTGAAGAGCGAGCTGGAGGCAGAACTGGAGAGAATCAAGGATGAGTTCCAGATGGAGAAAGAGGAGATGGACTTCAAAATCAATGAGCTGCAGATGATTCGGGAGAGTGACCCAACAACAACAAGCCGAAATGTCATGACTGTTGAGTCTGAAACAAATGCGTCATGTGACTCTAAGGAGCCACTCCAAGACCAAAATTCAGCGGAACAAGATACGCAAGCGAAGCTCAGGTCCCACTGTGAGGCTTTGACGCAAGAGAGGGACTCCGCTCTCGCTGACTTCTACCACATAAAGGGGATACTGCAAAACCTGGAATCAGAACTAGGTCAGAAAACAAACGATTTTGTTCTCCAGTACAAAGCCATGAAGGACCAAGGGCCAAACGCTGTTAAAAACCACCAAGACAAGACAGAGCAACTCCGCCAAGAGAATGAAGAATTGTCAGCAAAAGTCAGAGAGATTACAGAGAAGAGAAATCTTCTAATGGAGACTGTGGATGACCTAAAGATCAAACTTGAGAGTCACTCTGCTGACGAGCAGAAACTCCAGTCCGCTGCAGAGAAACAAACAGCCTTAGCACAGGAGCTCAATCAGTCTGTGGAAAAGCTAACCAGGCAGAATGAAGAGATCCTCTCCCAACTGCAAATAAAAGAAAACATGACTGAAGACCTGAATGAGATGGTGAATACACTGACTGAGGATCGAGACAGAACGCAAGCCCTGCTTCAGCTTCAAGAGGAGGAGATACAGAACCTAAAAAGTGAAAATGCTAAAGACACTGAGGGCCTGCTCGAGGAGAAGCAAGCAGCACAACTACTGAAGGAAGAGACTGAAAGGGAGTTGAAAATGTTGAAAATGGAGAAAGAGAGTGAAATTCAGGTTTTAAAGGAGGAGAGGGATGAGATGGAGGCAAGCCTGAAAGAAGAAGTTAGCAGATTGAGGGAGGCTATATCCTCTTCAGAGATGACTATTAAAGACATCTCCTCAGAAAATGCTTGCCTCCATAAAAAACTAGAAGGGACTTTAACTACACTTTCCGAAACCCAGAAAGAGCAAGAACTTTTGAATTCCAAGTTGGCCACCGTGGAAGCTCAACTGGAGCAACAGTCTTCCCAAAAAAGTGATCTTGAAGCAGCAGTGAATTCTCTGACAGAAGAAGTAGCACTCGCTCACAATATTGGGAGAGAACTTGAAGCTCAGTGTGAAACACTTAAAAACACAAAGACAGAAGAAATGGCAGAACTCCAAATACGCGTAGAAGAGCTGGAAAAAGAGAGAACCCTGTTGAGGAGCAGTCTTGAAGAGGCTCGAGGAGAAAGACATTCAGAGGCGATGCCAAACGAGCTGCAGGCTTTGCAGCTGGAGAATCACATGCTGAGAGCCAACCTGGAGGAGACGATGAAGGATACAGCAGGTCTGCTGAAAGACCTGAATGATATGAAGTCACTCAATGAGAAGATGTGTGCTGAGAATCAGATGTTACAAGAACAAATCAATCTGATGTCCCAAGAGAAGGAAGAAAAGGCACAAGCCAACATTGACGCTCTGGAGAGAGAACGTGCAGAATTCAAAGAACGGTTGATGGACAAGGACTCACAAATATCACAGTTAAGGGCTGAGATGGCTGCGCTGCAGGTCAGTGTAGATTCCTCATGTTCCCACTCTGTCTGCTTTTATGAGGTCCATTTGAAGAAGGGTGGACAAAAGTTTTATGTTGTAATTGTCTTGGTATCTTCTTTTTCTCTGTTTACCCTGTTATTGTTTCAGAATTCTGCGGCAGAGTCTGCTTCCGAAGAAAAAAAATCCATGGAAATTACACAGAAAATAGGTATGGTCTTCTCTTTCAAGCCAAACCTTTTTTTTTTAGCAGCCTTGGGCCTTTTTTTGTCCCATCAGTAGAGGCTTATGCAAAACCAAACACTATCATCTTTTGTGTTTACCACTTCTTTATCTTAGATACGCTTTTCATTTTTGATGAAAAAAAAACACGTGGGTTATGGTCTCCTTTTAGAGAAAAACTGTTGTTGACAGATTTTCTGTCATTCTTTGATTTTTGGAGCATTATTGTTTGACTACTGAGAACTCTTTCAGATGAATTGGAGAAGGACAACAAAGAGAAGGATGCGATGATTAACAAAATCAAGGCAGTGGCTGTCAAAGCAAAAAAAGAGCTGGACGCCACTAAAAAAGAGGTACAATGAATAATTTATATGACTTGAAGAAACTGATGTAAACTCAGTTCAAAACGACCTCACTATTAATTGTTAAAATGTGTTTTGTACAATTTTCTTTTGCAGGTTGCAACCTTCAAGGAAGAAATAGCATCTCTAAAAGTAGAGCGAGAGAAATTGAACATCTCAATGAAGGACATCATCCATAGTGCTGAAGGCTACAAGGTGTTGTCTTAGGTTGCACAGGAAACTGCAAAGGCATCCTCCAACTCACATTCTGAATTATTTTTAATCAGTGATCCAAGACCAACAGACTTTTGCCTGTGACCAAGTTTACTGGCCAGGAGCCCATCATTATTAATTTTTTAGATGGAGACTCCAATGAGCATTGAACAAGACAAGAATCATCATCTTAAATTCAAATAGCAAATAAACAATGCGCTGAAAATATACTTCACGAAAATTTAAAAAGGATTGATTTTAAGACTGGAATTCAGATGAACTATGATGCTTACAGATTACAATCTGATCTGCAGTGAAAGCAGAGAGCAGTTGGGGTAATGGAGAGAAGCAAGAGTGAGACAGACTGGTGAGGGAGGAAGAGTGAGGCTACAGGGAGGAACAGCTAGCGAGGGAGAAGGACTTCAGATACTTAATGGTCAATAATCCAGCACAGTGGTGAGTGCGGTACGGAGGTGAATAGCACATTCGATACAGCGGATTTAGATGGCCTGGGCACATCCAGAAGGGAGATGGTGAGTGGATTGGTAGAAGGATGATGAGGACAGAGCTGCCAGGCAAGAGATCTAGAGGAAGACCTAAGAGCAAGGTTGATAGATATTGTGAGGGAAGACATTGGGGCAATTGGTGTTAGAGAGGAGGATGCAGATGGAAAAAGATGCAGTGGGGCAACTCTTACTGGGACAAGCCAAAAGCAAAAGAACAATATAAAGAGGCATTGATTTAAAAAAATCATGTTAAATACGTTTCTTTTTTTTATAAAAATTAGAATTTCTCGGAATTAATCTCATGATGAAAATAACATGCACCTGAATTAAACAGTCAAGAGTGGCATAAAGCCATTTTATGCATTATGTTTGTGACTGGTAAGACGAAAAAAAACATCTCAAACAAATTGAGTAATCCCAGCTGTCTCCATAACCTGCCCCCCCTTCCTGACACTCCTTTCAGTCTAAACAAAATAATTGAGTCGTATCATCGTGTCCCCAACTCAAACGTAAATGCGAGTAATATCTGAGATGCATATCATTTTCCTTCAATGAGCTCTTCTGCCTGTGTCGTGTTTTTGTATGTGAATGTGTGTGTGCGTGTGCACGTGTAGAACCTGCAGATCGATTACGACAAACAGACGGCGCAACTGGATAAAGAGAAAGAGAATGTGCAGGCAGCAGAGCGACAGATCGCTGACCTGACCAAGCACCTCACCAGTGCTGTCAGACAGGTAACACAAATACACGTTAAATCACAAACATACACGTTACTGTGGACAAATAACAAACCGCCCACGCGAGTAAGGAAGTGCTCCTTCATCCTGCTAACACTCCTCCAATACCGCTCACATATGTCACTTTTTTGCAGCCTATTTGCAGCCAGTGACACTTTGCCCAGTTGTGCTTGGCAGTGCGGCACTCACAAATGGCCTATCAGATTTGAGTGGGTGAGCCCGGGAGGATTTTGGTTTATGTAGACTGAATGCTCCTCTCGCCCAAAGTCATAACTGTCTGTTTGCAGTAAGAACCACAGGCAAGTAAATGGAGCACGGTAAAGCTTCCATCTGCCGCACGGCAGCGCAGTGCCTTTTTCCAAAGAGCTGGTTTCTTTTTGCGTGCGCTCATTGGTCTCAAGGGTAGAAGGCAGACTGGAAGCCAGTCAGGGAATTTAGAGTACATCTGGACATCTCCGTTTACCAACCGAAGTGTCACTATTTGGCTGACAGATGATGAGTAGACGCCGGTTGCTGGTTCAGTGTTCCTTGCAGAGGGAGCCCACAGAGTCTGCTGCTGTCAGATTTGCATGAGGGATTTTCAAATGTTGTGTAGATGGAGAAGAAATGCGCTCATTAGCATTTTGCATCTGAACCATTCAATTTGTTGTTGTTTCTCAGCGTTTAGTGTCTCAGTGGATTTCAGAAGATATATATATAAAACGGGAACATTTAACTGAATAAATAATCACCACGGTTCAATGCAAAAAAAAAAAAAGCTTATGACTGTAGATGTTTGCAAGAATACCAAAGATAACCTGATATAGTTAAAACAAACCCTTGAAATGGCATACATTTCATGATTTGGAGTATGTTTTGATTTCCAGGTCGACTTGATCAGCAGTGAGAAGGAGGACCTTGTGGCTGCTTTGGAAACCTCCAGGAGCATGGTGAAGCAGATAGAAGCTCAGATCCAAGATCTGCAAAAGCATTCAGACAGGCTAGACAGAGACCTCGTGGCCGAGAAGGCAATGAAAGAACAAAAGATCAAGGTAGAAACCATGACCATGATTTATGTTTCTCTGCCAAACATTTGCCACTTATATTGTTTGTTTAAAATTTCAATTTGTTGAGACAAAAAGTGAAATCAATTAAATGATACATGATTGACTGAATCATCAAGTGTTGATAATCACATTGTTGCAAATCTTTATTCTGTTTTCGAGTTTATGCCTTCTGCGTACAATCCATCCTTCCATTTTCTTAAGAGGGTCTTCACAAGTCCCATTTTGTCAAACACAGTCTTACTCTTCTTCCATTACAAAATCTAATACAATGAATCCCCACATAGCCGTGTGGTGTCCAGGAAATAGGTAGAAGTGAGTTGACGAATTTCATTTAGACATTGGTAGTGCTTTACCCCCACCTTGTGGCATCTAAAGGAAATTACAAACATTTTTGGTCAAGGGCCTCAATTACTTGCTGATTTTCACTATTCACCGCAGGGTTTGGTCCTTTGCGCCCGTGAACTGTATGCAGCCATGTACAGAATAACCATGCACACTTAGTATTTTTACTGAAGTTGATTGAAAAGAAAAATGATCAATGCACATATACGGATAAAACTGTGTGTGTGTTTCAGGAGCTGTCAAGTGCCAAGAAGGATGTGGATGAGCTTAAAGCCCAGCTCAGCAAGCAGCAACAGCAGTCGCAGCACACTGCCCAGGAGCTGGAACAGCTACGCAAGGTCCAACAATTCACTCAGACGCATAGCTTTTTAGAACTCTGCTGTCTCTGAGGAATTCTCCAGTCAAATGTAGTGACCGGTGATGGCCGGCCTGCAGCTACAGCGAGAGCAATCCAGAGAGAGAAAGAGAGCAAATGTTAGCCCCCAGCAAATGAAAGTGCTCCTGCTTTTCCATTAGCTGAGACGTTGAGAGAACAGAAATTTACACGAAGGCCGCCGGGAGGGCTGGCTTTTCAATGTGTCCTGTCTACATTGTTAGTGCTGCTGGGACGTGTAATGCTGAAACCGACTGCAGCACAACACCAGTGTAATATAAGTACCATCCATACAAAACATTTCAGTGATAATTTACCGTCTCTGCTTCTGTTCTCTGAGTAGGAGGCACAGCAGAACTCACTCTTAGACATGGAGATGGCCGACTATGAACGTCTGGTCAAAGAACTCAACGCCAAGCTTTCTGAAAAAGATGAATGTTCTGAGGTGTTAAAGGCTCAAATAACCAAATTGACTGAGAAGGAGGAGACGCTCAGACAAGAAACTGGTATGTTTCATGCTTTCCACGTCATTTCAGTCATATTGATATCATTCATGTTCTTCAATAATTTGGGACCTGTAGATGTCTCTTTCCTTCTCGCCCATTTCCTCTCGTGTGATAGTACCGTAATATAGCTACAGCAAGGAGGGCAAGTCGGTTTTACCTCGAACATCACAGCATGTTATTTGTGGTTCAAGGGATCACAATTTTTCTGTTCCATCGAGTTGTATGTGATAGTCAATCATAGGTATACGTAAATTAATCTGTATTACAATACATATGAGATTTATTATACATCAATGTTTTGGTCTTATAGGTTAGGCTTACGCTAAAGTAAAAGCAAATATACTATGAAATGATAATGCAAACAAATCTGTGGCTTTATCACTTTTCGTGTTTCATGAAACAATCATATGTAAACATGTGGACTCCACGTCTTTAGCACTGAACTTCTTTGTGACAGCTTTAGTCTGTTACCTTGTTATTTATCTTTTTATGTGACCAGAAACTTTGAAATCCCAGTTGAACCAAGAGGAAGAGAAAACGTCCAATATCAAACAGCTGCTGGTCAAATCTAAAAAAGAGCTGGCTGATGCCAAGAAGCAGGTCTGTTTGGATGCCACTTTTTGCGTCTGATGAATGCTAATAATGTAACCTTACGTGGTTGTACTCTTTGTAAAGGGCTTGTTGTTGGGAATAGTAACTGAGAATGTGTCGTTACGTTTTTTGACGTTTTCACACAAACAGGAAAACTCCCTCGCACTGTTGCAGGCCTCGTTAAGAGGAGAGCTAGAGGCTAACCAGCAACAGTTAGAAAGCACCAAAGTAAGTCATCTTTAATATCGCTGTTTGCCAATTTACCTCCAAAATTAACACATTACGTTGTGTGTTTGTTTTCATGTGAGATCGAGGTGTGTGACTTGACCACTGAGCGGCATCATCTGCAGGACCAGCTCAGGTCTGCACTGGAGCAACAGCAAAGGACCAGAAGCTCTCTGCAGCAAAGGCTTGACAGCCTGCAACAGGAGAGAGATATTGCTAAGGTACAAACACATTCATACAACCTAATTGAAACATTAGCTTTTCCTGTATTTTTTGATTCCCATCTTCAATTTCTATGGATCAACTCACTGGTTTCCCCCTGCGCTGGAACAATACAGTATCCTGAAATTACTTAACGGGATGTTGTAATTTAGTCTCTTCCTTTACTACTTTATTACAAACAAACATTAAAAAGAAAGGTTTTGATGACTTTGCACTGTTGCAAACTTGTTTTCATTACTTTAATTCACATTTTATTATTACTAAACCGTAAACCATTTCATCCTTATCACCAATATTTAAAGGTCTTTACGATGCACCCCCCCCCCCCCACACACACACACACACACACACACACACACACACACACACACACACAGACTCAAATTCACATCTCAACAGCAATGACCATGCTAAGCAAAATGTTCTTGTGAAAGCAATCAATTGGCTTATTTATCATATATTCGTCCATTATGTATGTTCTCTCTAGGCTGAACTTGTGGCAACCGCTGAGGAGTTTGAGAGTTATAAGGTTCGAGTGCACAATGTGCTAAAACAGCAAAAGAGCAAGCTCAGTGGGCAGGGTGAAAGCGACGGCAGCAGGCTTGAAAGGTAAAAATGCTGAGAAAAAAAAAAGACCATCACCATTACATGGCCAGTTATAAGAACATCCTGCCACAAGATGCACATAGCATTTGTAATTTGTATGAAAGATGCTTCAATTTGACGACTGACATGAATGTGTATACGTTTCTCCCAGAGAGCAGTTGTTGACTCAGGTGGACCAGCTGAAGTCCAGACTGGGAGAAAGCCAGCAGAATCTCCAAAGCAGCACTGCAGAGCTGCAGCAGCTCCAGACTGAACATGACACACTGTTAGAGCGACACAACAAAATCCTGCAGGAAAATGTTAGCAAAGAGGCCGACCTCCGAGAGAGGTGAGCTCTTTTCAGTTATCTAATGGTAGAAGTTAACCATCTTTCATATGGAATGTAATATAAAGTACAACCATGTTGATCACCCAAGTACAGTCATACCCTGTTTCTCGTTTGCCCTTGCCCATACATTGACATAATGTCCTCAACCCGGCCGGTTACTCTGAATACACGAAAGCATTCTGTCATATTCCTGCTCCCTCTCCTCTGCCAGACTGATGTCGCTGCAGTCTGAAAACGGGGACCTGCGGTCAGAGTTGGCGCAGGCTCAAGCTGACTCATCTTACCAAATAGAGACCCAGCGACAGACGCACAGGGAGCAGTTGAGGAAGCTGCAGGATGACCATCGTGCCACAGTTGAGACGCTGCAGGGTCAGCTGACTCGTGTTGAGGAGCAGCTCTACAACTTGCAGAGTCAGAACAGTGAGTATGCTGGACCAATTTGAACCTGATCCATGATATTTCTTCTTCACTGGTCTTATTTCTATTTCAATGTGTGGAGAAAGGATGTGCAAGAAAATGCCTTGGATTACTTGAAGTAATGTTTGCTCCAAACACGATATAAAAAAATGTACTGAAAGTAGTGCTTAAAAAAAGAAATAAATATCCCAGACAACAGGACAACCAAAACAGGACCATCTGCTGTAAAAGACAACACTGGTCCCAAAGAAATGATCAAGGTTTTGAAGTTCTCTATCTTGTTAATTCCACGAGAGAAATGATGCAAGAGAGAAGTACGGATGGCAGGTCGTCTGTGTGTTTATCGGTTGGAAGCTCATTCATCACTTCCCACACAGCTGCCGCGTGGAGTCAAACAGCAAACACACACGCACAGCATGGGCTTGGAAAACGTCAGGTGTTGGCGACTGCTCTGCTCCGATCCCGCCTCTCAGTGTGGCAAGCAGCTCACTGTGACATCTGGACAGACGCATCATTAGTGGCTCGCACATGCATGCCAGGCTGTGAAGATGGGCCCTATGTTAGTGCAAACCAAAGTCATATTTCAGTCTGCCACCCTGTTTGAATTTTATCGCAGCTCAATGACAAAGGTTTTATGTGATTTACTGGTAGGCAGTGCATGGACATCGTAATTCAGAGCTCATGAATATGCAAGCTAAATACATGTCCTCCTCATGTCTGTTTTTTTTTTTAATACTGCATCATTGATGTTTATATAATTCACTAGCCACAAGATTAGTTAAGTATTAAAAGGTTCTTTAAAGATGACAATGTAGTGTGGATTTATATTTTTTAGAGGTATTAAGACAAGACTGCTCTTGTGAGTGTTAAACCTACACAGTAAATACCTTCTGCCTGCTCTGTACACACCCTTTTAGGTGGAGAGGGGAAGGCTTCGGTTTGCTGAACTCGTCATCCTGGTTCATTTATCACAATAGTCCCTGTTGTCCACCAACTCTTAAACCCCCTCTTTTCTCTCCTACCCGGTGACAGTGTGGACCAGCTAAATTTGTGTCTGCTGCCCCCTTATGTTGTAATTACATAAAACAAGAGAATGGAAATGACATTGAACAGAGAATCAATGGGATATATCTTAAAAAAAAAAAACTATTGACTCATCTGGGAAAAGGATGCTTTCCATATGTTAAAAATGTGATCCATGGCCTCTCCTCAGGCTCTGTGTTGGTCCAGTCCAGCCGGAAGTCCCTTGATACTCAGCGCAGAACTACAGACCAAAATCAGGCAGGGTTGGGACAAGTGACCCCAATTGACCTCCAGTCTATGGCCAGGGAGGAGTGTGAAGGTATGGAAACCACAGAGAATGAAAGCACCTCCCCTTCATCAGTACTCTCTCTGGAGCACCTTCTTATGTCACCGGACCCCAAGCAAGGTGGGTTCAAACCATGACTTGCAGTCACAAATGCGCTGTTCATTTCCAAAGCATTGTTTAACATTAGAAAGTTACACAGCTCTAAAGATTATTGGGACACCTGTTGGAAAAAAACAAAACGAAATAACTGGACGACAACGAACGTTCTCACGTGTGTTATGACAGCAGCCTCTTCTGGTGACTAAAAGCGTCTTGTGGTTTATTTATTTATTTCGTTAATCTGTTTTGGGTTTGGTCTCCAGAGCCCTTCGTGTGGACTGTAGAGCCCACTAAAGATGAGCTTAGTCACAAGCTGAGCGCTGTTATGTTTAAAGCGATTGTCACTGTTGGGATAGCTATTTTGTACATCACACCAGATACTATTGTTGTCATTCATCTGATTATCTGATTCCCATTCACTTACAATGCATGTTTTCAGTTGTTATTGAGTCACTATTTTAAACATAACTGACCCACAACGGGCAGAAAAGCAATCTTCCTTGGGAGATTGTAGAAAACAAATGAAAATGTTTGAGCAAGGGTAAGTTTCGCATTCAAATTTTGATGGTCTGTTATGTTTAAAGCGATTGTCACTGTTAGGATAGCTATTTCGTACATCACACCAGACACTAATGTTGTCATTCATCTGATTATCTGATTCCCATTCACATCCTTTAATTTACTCTACAAAGAGTAATAGAACTTAAACACAGAAGTGCTCACACATTTTCACTACAAATAATACTGGGTTCCCAGTTGTGTTTTAATGCTCCTCATTCATAAACCCGATGTCATAATTTTGATGGTCTGTTATGTTTAAAGCGATTGTCACTGTTAGGATAGCTATTTCGTACATCACACCAGACACTAATGTTGTCATTCATCTGATTATCTGATTCCCATTCACATCCTTTAATTTACTCTACAAAGAGTAATAGAACTTAAACACAGAAGTGCTCACACGTTTTCACAACAAATAATACTGGGTTCCCAGTTGTTTTAATGCTCCTCATTCATAAACCCGATGTCATCTTTCCAAAATGGAACAATTTAACAGCAAACTAAATTGACTTGTATGTATAGACAGCAGTGCCATTGATTAACTTTTGGAGAAAATAATTTTAAATAATAAGTAAATCACAATTACATTGTTGAACAGAGAATCAATGGGATATATCTTTAAAAAAAACAAAAACTATTGACTCATCTGGGAAAAGGATGCCTTCCATATGTTAAAAATGTGATACATGGCCTCTCCTCAGGCTCTGTGTTGGTCCAGTCCAGCCGGAAGTCCCTTGATACTCAGCGCAGAACTACAGACCAAAATCAGGCAGGGTTGGGACAAGTGACCCCAATTGACCTCCAGTCTATGGCCAGGGAGGAGTGTGAAGGTATGGAAACCACAGAGAATGAAAGCACCTCCCCTTCATCAGTACTCTCTCTGGAGCACCTTCTTATGTCACCGGACCCCAAGCAAGGTGGGTTCAAACCATGACTTGCAGTCACAAATGCGCTGTTCATTTCCAAAGCATTGTTTAACATTAGAAAGTTACACAGCTCTAAAGATTATTGGGACACCTGTTGGAAAAAAACAAAACGAAAAAACTGGACGACAACGTTCTCACGTGTGTTATGACAGCAGCCTCTTCTGGTGACTAAAAGCGTCTTGTGGTTTATTTATTCATTTATTTATTTCGTTAATCTGTTTTGGGTTTGGTCTCCAGAGCCCTTCGTGTGGACTGTAGAGCCCACTAAAGATGAGCTTATTCACAAGCTGAGCACAGCCACACGCAGTCTGGAGCACATGAACAGCCTCCTGCATGAAACGGAGGCTACCAATGCTATACTGATGGAGCAGATCAATGTAAGTGAGCTTTGACTTGTTTTCAGCTGTTATTGAGTCACTATTAAACATAACTGACCCACAACGGGCAGAAAAGCAATCTTCCTTGGGAGATTGTAGAAAACAAATGAAAATGCTTGAGCAAGGGTAAGTTTCGCATTCAAATTTTGATGGTCTGTTATGTTTAAAGCGATTGTCACTGTTAGGATAGCTATTTCGTACATCACACCAGACACTAATGTTGTCATTCATCTGATTATCTGATTCCCATTCACATCCTTTAATTTACTCTACAAAGAGTAATAGAACTTAAACACAGAAGTGCTCACACGTTTTCACAACAAATAATACTGGGTTCCCAGTTGTTTTAATGCTCCTCATTCATAAACCCGATGTCATCTTTCCAAAATGGAACAATTTAACAGCAAATCAAATTGACTTGTATGTATAGACAGCAGTGCCATTGATTAACTTTTGGAGAAAATAATTTTAAATAATAAGTAAATCACAATTACATTTGTACACAAAGGAAACCAACGCCTTGCTAGTTGTGTAGTAAATAAGCATTCCCATCCATGACTTGAGGCAATACAATGACTTGTTTATTTGTAATTTTCACAGAAATAGTAGGATCTTTACACCACTTGGCATGAATGTAAGAGTCAACTTATAGAGGACGGTATGCCCCAGCAGTTACATCAAAAAGTTTAGCATTGTTTATAGTGCCATCTTTGTCCAGCAGAAAGTAGAACTTGTGTCCCTTGATTTTGAGGGGGATAAATGAGGGAGACTCCTGTCTGTGGGCGTGACAGGCAACCTGGGACAACGGGACCTTTATTCTCCGGCCGTGGCCCATACCCAGGGGTGACTGTGTGGTAACTGACACCATTGTTCCACCTTGGTGCAAAACCACCTGGCTGACAGAGCGCCGACAAAACAGGATTCCCAGTCCCAGTATGCCCCCTCCTATTGTCACACATCCCAGTGTGAAACCGTATCTCCAGGTGCTGGATCCCAGGTTCATATCAAAACTCCACATTCCAGCCAAAGCAGTGCTGGTGGGAGCTTTCCTTTTTTCCTGCTCCCGAGGGGTCCCAGTATCTCTCAGGCCGGTGTAGGCGAAGTGAGCCAGGTACGACCAGAAGATAAATTGGCCCCCGCAGAAGACAGCGAGGAGGCGGAAGAAGCCCGTTCTGTCGTGTTGGAACAGGGTGACGTCTCTAGTTGGCTTAATGGAGGTGCAGAGGCCGCGGTGTGCGAAAACATGTCTCGTCAATCTGGCAAAACAAACATGGGCAAGTCGTATAGACAAGCCGCTGACTGGATGTTTTGACCGCAGTAACGCGTCTTTTTGCTGGAAGGCGATCGGACGGAGCGGACACAGTGCGCCGCAAATTCGGAGTAAACTCATATTGTGTGATAAAAGATGTATTTGGTATATGAGATCAAAATGCAAAAGCATGTACAGACGACTAATCCGAAAAATACAGCTAGCTACCCCCGTTTAGCAAATCTAGTTGAGCAAACTTGGATTCTCTGACACGTCGGGCGCAGCCATTTTCTGTTATGACGTAATCGCGTGTAACTACGGCTACCGCCCTCGATCAAATCGACTCCTTTTTTTGGGACGACGCCAAAGCTTCATCGTGAAATCTGAGAATAAGCCTAAAATTAGCTATAAACGTCGGCATGTGAACCTAACTTGACTGTGAAGTTTTTGAATGCACGTCCATCTGTTAACTGTTTTGGTGCTTTTTGTATAACTTGATGTTATCTAAGATGAAGTTGAAAAGCAAGATTCACATGTTTTGATCATGATGTGCGGTTAATAGGTTAAAGAAGTTCAACTTAGTTCACCTGTCAGGGTTACATACATGGCAATTTTCCGCGGATCCGCGGAAATCCAAATTGTAGCTTCTTAAATTGATCATTTTTGT